TTTTATCTTTTTGTTGGCTCACTTTGTAAAGAATTTCATTGATGAATTATTCTAAGTGATTCGTCTCTGTGTCTTCCTTTTTAATTTCTTTTTGACTGTAGTTCTGTGAGTTAGATTGAAGGATTGAACTACTACTAAATAATGCCGCTTTTCATTTATATTTAGTACACACTAATGAACTTTTGTGAGTTCGGTTCTTTGGTCCTTCATTAAGTAATGTACTTTATTTTTAAGTGTGTATTTTCCTAGCGGTAGAATTTTTCTTTGAATGTAGATTGGTGAGTTCTGTGAGGTAGATGTAGTTGTTGTCTTGTGTTAAAAGGTTGAATGTAGTTTTGTGAGTTAGATCCACGAAATAAAAACATAATACAAGAAACTATCTTTATTTTTCATTGTGTTTGTTCAATCAATACATGCCCAAATTGAGCAACCACATGAAGATTACGAACAAAAAAAATAAGCCTAAGAGTACAAAGAAATTAAGTTTAGAGGAATTTGTTAATTCATAGGTTATTTCAAGCACATTCTATAGGTAGGATTGATTTACGTTAATGGGTTACATATTCTGCAAGTATCAAGTAGTAGGAAGAAGTTTATACACGTATTGATGGACTGCATATAAATTCCTTGAGCAAAATACCTATTGTATTATGTATAACTAAATTTTTGCCGCCTTATTTTTATTTATTTTTTTCCCTTTGATATATTAGGTCTCCTTTTCTCCTTCCTTGTGTATAACTTATTAAATACATGATTGGCAAGATCACTCACTTTCACACAACAACAACAAGAACTTGTGTGGCCCTGTTGTTTCTGTTACTGTTATTTTGCATTTAGGGCTTCCAACGACACATTCTTCTTCTTCTTATTTGATTTTGAGGATTTCTTCAACTGAGATCTTAAATAAATTAGAAGATCAGTTAGAAGAAGTTGTTCCTAATTAGAAGATCAGTTAGACTGATTTCGGTCTTTGACTTTTGTTTGCTAAGTTGGAGTGACTAGGAGAAAGAATATTTGTAGACTCTTTAAAGACTACTTTTCTTTTTTCTCAAGAGAATTCATTAGTGTGTATGGTCATTTTCTTTGGTTAATAAATTTTTTTTTGTTGGCCTTACTAGTCATGATATGGTTATTTAGAACCCTTCAAAATAGACCATACCACTAGAAGACTTCAGTACAAATTAAAAAAGAAAACATGGAATCAATCCATTTATTTGTAAAAAATGTGAAAACACCTTTGCGATGATAGAGGACTAGAATGAGAAGAGTTGTGGGAAGCTTTGACATTGCACTTGTGGCTCTAATTTTAATCCCAAAAGGTCTCTTAAAGATCACATCAAAGCCTTTGGACATAGTTATTCAACTTATAGGGTTGTGATCACGAAGATGACGAGCTTGATTCTGAGATTGGACATCTCATTAGCTTGTACTTGACAAATCTCTCCTCAAGGCCACAAAACATAGGTGCTAGTTATATCAGTTCAGTGCTATACTTTCTTCTCATTTTCTCTTCAATGTCAATCTTTTTTTTAATGGTTCTGTTTGGTTTATCATATGAGGACAACACTTCATCAAGAAGGGCTATTTGAAAGGATTGAGTTTTATTACAAAGTCATGGTTTTCATCCAAGGGAATCAAAAAGCATAATGCTCTTTCTTTCCTCATGAACTTTTAGTGGACAATGCTCTCCCCCTTTCAATTCTAATTGGAAGCAGTAATGCAAGTATTTGAACTAATGTTTCTATTCTCTGTTTTTAAGAAACCTACTTCAAGAAGAAGGGAAAAAATGAAACGTGCTTACATATATAAGATGAACAATAATGTTCTATGATATTTAGATTTTGTTGCTTTGGTGCTTGATAAAGGAAGAGCTTGAAATAGCGTGAAAAAGAAAGGAACAAGAAAAAACTCCAACATATGTCAAACCTTTTGGTACTATTTTGCACTTCTCTTCGAACCACTGATATATATATGCTTTGATAATGTTGTAGGATTCCTTGAAAGCACTAATTGGCAAGCAACAACGACCAATTTATTAATTGACATTGCCTAGAGTCAGTCACAAAGATGCAACTTAGACTCTATACCAAATTGATAAGGCAACCCTAATTCTCAACTCAACGATCAAGCTTTTGTTGAAGCAAGGAAGCACTAATTGGCAAGCAACAACGAACAATTTATCAATTGGCATTGCTAAAAGGGTGGAACATAGAAGATATTGATGTCAGTTCGAATACCTCTAGGATTGGTGGACTTGATTTTATCAAAATCAAAGATGTCACATATTGTGGATAGTGAGTTTTTGTTCTATTTATGGTGTATTGGGTGGGGAAGAACTGATTTGAAAATTTTGATAGTGTAACGAGTCTAATATTCTTATATAGATCGAGTTGAATACTTTATTTTGTAATGTGTGAGTAGATTATTAAATTTCAATTATTTTTTTGTTATAGCATAAGATTAAAAGTATAAATATAGCTTATTAAAAATGAATGATAGCATATGTTTACATATTATAACTTTAACAAAAAATGCTATAAAATGTTTTCATAGCATTGCATATAAGCTATATTTAGGTACTATATTATAACATTTTTTATAGCTATACAAAAACGCTATAAAAAGTTCCAGACTTTTAATAATATCGGCTGTCACGACATGACGTACGAAAAACGCTATAAAAAGTCTATGATAGCATTTTTCGGAAGTTATCTAATCCAATATTTGTTGTAGTGGTAATCTTGAGTTTAGCATCATTTATTATGAATTTGGACAATACCTTCTCAATGTACGGGTGTGCTAGATCATCTATCTTGATATATCCTCCTCTTAATGTTTGATTTTAATTATGTCAAGCGGATTGACTCGCATTTTAAATATTAAACAGCAAGAGATTCACGGTTACAATAACTAATTTGAACCAACTTAAATCATTAAAAAAAAAAAAGCCAATTATCATTTCAAACATGAATGATTTAATTTGTGAGATTACATGTTGATTGAAGAGGAGAACGAAACATTATTTATAAGAGTGTGGAAACTTCTTCCAGACGAGTTTTAAAAATCTTGAGGAAAAGTCCGAAAAGAAAATTTTGGAGAGGACAATATATGTTAGCGGTAGACTTGATGTAACGATACACATTCCAAGGAAAAAAAAAAAAAAACAGAGGCACGCCGAAAATCTTGCAATTTTCGGCGGGATTCACTCAGACCCCCTTAAACCCTAGGGTCGCAGTGGCCACCTCCTTTAGGTAGGAGCGGACGCTAGTGTACGTCGGAGCAAGGAGAGACAGACGCACCACTGGAGACGGATGAATGACGACGCTTCCACCGGCGATAGTAGCCAAGCCCCGTGATTAGGGTTGTCGAGGCTTTCAGGCGAGGAAGACGAAGCAACAACGCGGGTTGACCCTCGGCATTTTGCGATTTTGTCTCGGTCAGCGTACAGCCCGCACCTCGCAGACCGCGCTCGGACACCACCACTAGGCCTCATTCCCTTTTGGCCCAAACCAGAGGCGCACCCAGAAACCCTCCGCCGACAGTGTTCTTCATAGCCCGTCGGTTTCAGCTCCATCGGCTGCTCCGTGCACTCCCGGCTCGACTAGGTTCGGCTTGGCAGTGCGGCTCGGCGGCGCGGCTTGGCATCCGAATAGTATACCGAATTCTAGATTTTCGACCCTTCTGGAGCTATTCCCACCCTTGTTTCAACTATCTGAGGTCAGTATAACTTCATTTTGATAAAACAGCTTGCGATAGGGACATACCTGGGTAGCGGCATAAGAGCTAGTTGTGAAAGAGCTTTAAGTGTATCATGTTATCTTATAGGAGGTAGTTAGACGCTAGAGTTAGCCTTGGCCAAGGAGGTAAGTAATCTTACTGTTGGCGTTAGTTATGTATATATGTTGGTGCGTGCCCTGTGGCCCTTGCATGCACCATTGTGTTGTTGATGTATGCTAGGTTATATGTTTCATGCAGTGAAATGCTATGTATGCCATGTTTATGTATGTGATGTTTGTGCACGGTTTGCTACCCTGTATGTATGAGCTTGATTGACATATCATGATTGTAATGAGAACCCCGCATGCCATGAATGTGATGACTAGTATGTTACGATATGCTTACTCGATGTTTAACCCAGTTATGTTATGTAATGCGGTGAGGGGATGGAACGTTGTATGTATAATGCCATGGAGGTAAACCTTAAGAACCTTATGCACGCTATGGTTATGACATGGGGCACTCCCCCATTATGCTACTGATGGTATGGACGCGTAAATTCGATATTGTGTTCGCCACGATATCATGCAGACCCTCCTTTTTTGTGGCGTCCAGTAATGTATGTCATACATACCCGACCAAGCCAGGCCTAGGGAGTTTACATGCGAACTCGCCTGGTGGGTCCACAGTTACACACGTGGGCCATATGTGGGAAAGTATCATACATCCACCCCCACTCGGACAAACCAAGGGCCTAAGGCCATGTGAAGGAATGGAAGACAGACCCCTCTCTTAGTTTCTTTATTTTGACACTTGTGCTCATGTATGTGTATTGTGTGCGACCGCATGTATCCTGATGTATGATTATATGCTTAACCCCAACCGTGCGGTGTCTTACTGGGTATTTTATATAATACTCAAGCCACGTGCTACCCATATTTTCAGGTAAGGGTAAGGCTCCCATGTATGGTTGACGGTGGATGCTGCGAAGGCCATGAAAATCTTAAGGAGGGTTTGTAGTGTCGTAGGCGTCTTGTTGGATTCTTTTGGGTTCATAGTTATTGCAATTGTTTCTCTAATTCTCTGTTGATTATTTCTAGGTTAGGCTATTGTTATTGTCTTCTCCATGTATGAACTACTTATAATAATGAACGTGTTGTCGTTATTAAGACTGTCTTACGTGAACTCTCGTTCTGTCGTTATGCAAGTATCAAGTAACGTCGCTAATTAGGTTAGAGAAAATTAGGGGCGTTACACTTGAGCTGTTAAATTATTAAATACTCTTACAAAACTCCTATATTTATATTACTAATAAAACAAGAACCTCTAGTTACATCACATATATTACAAAAGCAGTACAAAACATATATATTACAGCTAGCTGGTCAAGTGGACAGTTGACTTATTTATTTGCAAACATGTCGTGTAGCCAGCTAACTTAGTACTAAACCCATATTAGTCCCCAATTTCTTTGTTACTCCAGCAATCCACATCTCTTCTAGGACACCCATGGTGATTGTACTCACCACTATCATTAGGGCGCCTATTTTTGGTCCTTTCATTCACATTCCCCATCACCCTCTGCTCGTTTTTATCGGCCAGTAGTCGTCGGGGACTTGTATACATTGTACCTTCAATTAGCACGGTCGAGCTGATCAGCACCCACAGGAGAATTGCACCAAGCATTAGTCTTCTCATTTTGATCCAAATCTTTGTCCTAAATCTTTAGGAACCAAGAAAATGGCTGATTAGATGGAATCAAAGAAAACAAAGATAGTAGGAAAAAAGGGCTAAATTGAAGTATTTAGTGGAAATTGTTTGTTGAGTTGTGAGTTCTATTAGGTGGTGGACTGTTTATATAGCACATAAATGGCCATTGTTAATTGGGATTTTTTTTTTCTTTTGTTCATCATCAAATGAGACAAAGATTAAGTGGATTGCCCACAAATTTTTAAAGAAATGTTTTAAAATGGATTGAATGATGAATATGCTGAATAATTGTGGCCTATACATAAACAGGAAAATTCCACCATGTTAGCTGAAACAGAAGCCTAAGCTCTAGAGTTGAGCACAATTGTTTTGCTCCTTGAACACAGTGTTTGCCTAGTGTATATGATCATGGTATATGATATTTGGAAAATCTTGATAGGGCTATCCAAAGGCTAACTATAGGCACTTGGATCGAGAAATGCGTATTACATCTTAGGATGAACGACTTTTGAAGAAGCAAAAAGTGTGAGATTCCACATCGGAGAGGAAAACGAAGTACTGTTTATAAGGGTGTGGAAATCTCACCCTAACAGTTGTGTTTGAAAAACATTGAAGGGAAGCGGTAAAGGGAAAATCCAAAGAAGACAATATCTACTAGCGGTGGGCTTGAGTCGTTACAAATGGTATCAAAGTCAAATACTGAGCAATGTACCAGCGAGGAGACTAAACCCTATAGGAGGGCGGACACGAGACGGTGTGCGACGAATTTTAATGTGCTACAAATCGTTAGATGAAGTTGAAATATGGATCTTTAGATCATAATGATAATTTTTTTTTTAATTATTATCAAATAAGATTTGTTCGCAAGGAATTTAATGAAAACTAAATAGAAATAAAAGAAAAGAAAAGAAAAGAAAAGAAAAAAAAAGAAAAGAAAAAAAAATAGAAATAAAATTACACAGCTGCGATGAGGATTGGGTCTTAGGTTACACACCTAAAGTTGAGTTAGCAAAATATTTCCAAAAAAAAATTTATTTTTGATGACTTAAAAAATTTAAATAATTTAACCAAATTCTCTCACCATCCGAAATTTTGAGGTATCGAAGAACTGACATACCAGACTATGCAATGCATGAAAATAAAAGAACAAGTAACAAAAATTTAATCGCGAGTTTAAAAACTTTACAAACAAGAAGAAAGGAATCAAAGTATGACCAAAATGTATGTATAGCCTTCTCGTGCGATTAACCTTCTCTTGAGCACGTGGAAGCTCGTGGCTGGCGCGTGTGAGTCATGAAGGGAATAAAATCTTTATCCATGTAGCAGCAGAAGCATTAGGAACCGTTTTAATTATGAATTAAACAAAGCAATAAATAAGAGAGTAAGAACTCTACCTTTATAGAAACCTAGCTTGCAAGACTTGTTGAATCAACCGTGTAAAAGTTCTAGTATTTCAACTATGTAAAAGTTCTCCAACATTCACGAAGTCTTCCTTGCTAGGACTCGAACACAAGGTCAAGATTTGTGGAACCCTCTTAAAAGAAAATTACAAAGGGATTGGAAGAGAACGTAATTTTATTTTTGAGAGAAAGTAGGAGAGATAGTATGTCTTTGGCTCAACTCGAGATCCTATTTATAGGGACGATTGGAGAATTTTTATCAAATAATATATTTACTTATTTAATATATTAGGATATAATATTTTATACCAATCATATTTAATATATTAGAATATAATATCTTATACCAATCATATTTAAATATTATAAGATATCCTAATATATTTAACTAATTTGAATCTTATTCAAATTTCAAATATATTTTTATTTAGACATAAATTTTTTTTAATATATCAAATATTAATGTGAATGTTCAAATTAATACATTTTTGTTCATTTATATTCAACCTATCTAATATATGAAATGTTAATTTAAACTTTTTAAATTAAATATATTTTCTCTATTAATTTAATATATATCATGCAAATTAAATTTATTTTCTTCTTTATATTTAATATATCTAATATATTAAATATTAATTTGAACCCTTCAAATTTTCTTTCAAATAAATTGAACCTTTTAGCGTTACTATGAGCTAGCAAGGAGACCTTATGGACCTACCGACTATAAGTTCCAATGATATATAATTAATTAATTAAACTATTTAATTTATCAATTTCCATTCATTAACTATAAGTCATTCCACTATAGACTTAGAGTTGCACTTTTATGCACTGTAGAATAAGTTATGTCCATTGATATAATCATTACAATCAAGTCGATCCGAGTTTTTCATAATTACAGCTGGGTCAAAAGTCTGTTTTACCCCTGTAATTACATCTTTCACCTTAAGTGCCACTTATTCTCTAATGAACAATTTGTTTATGATTCAATCATAAACCAAGTCCCTCTCGGGTCAATGAGAGGTTGGAGCCCCATTGTTTAAGTCCCGAAATCAGTACTTAAGAGAACAACTCATCTACTTTCCTTTGTGAAAAGGATTGAATTCCATCTCATGATATTATGTTCCTAACTCCCTATTTGGTCTAAGTCCCCAAATGGTAGACATATTGAATTCATAACTCACTCAGGATTAAGATTGAATAGTATATGATCATTTTGTGAAATATTAATCTTCTTAGTTAACGGATTTATAAAGAGAGATTAAATATTTCTTGATCCAATCTTATACAAATTCATTGTATAGAATACCCCCACTTACATGTCTCCACATAAACGATTTGGATCAAATCATTTGTAACGATTACAAAGTGGGTCGTATCAATAGTGTTACTAAGATAAGGCACCCAACCTTATCCATATACTACTCTTTAGGTTATTACTTAAACACGATCCTCTTATATGTCAACCACATATGGTTCAAGATTACATTAATAACCTTGGATTTTCATACCAAGGATGACAATTAAATTACAAATAAAATAATAAAAATTATTGTTAAAAACTAAATAATTAATTAGGAGGCTTGAGGGCGTAAATTTTTATCTTTCGGCCAGTTCAACTTCTGTTTGCTCGATTTTTATCCTAATTCTAATTCTAACCATATTTTTTGTGATTTAGGACCTAATTGAAGAAAAATACTATTTTTGGACACTCTATTCGTGTGAAAACGTAAAAGGAAATGGCACTTGTCAATCATGTAAGTCAGTACATGGTATTGAGGAAGAAATCTTTTAGGATTCTCTTGAAATGCATACATACTAGAATATTTACCTTACGTGGATATTTTTACCACGAAATGAATTTAGGTGATAGAAAATTATGAGTATGGAAGCATGGTGTCTAGAATGCTAGTATGCTTTATGTTTCCGTTATATGAGTGTTTATTTCATGCTGAAATGAGGATGGAAACTTTTGATTTGTGTTATAGGTACTTGATGAATGCTATCGCCCCGTTGAGCATGTATGTTTATTTTGTATGAATTATGTTTGATAATTCTAGATAATTATTCTGTGCACGGTTAATTCTAATAAACCAGTATCATGCTAACACTGGGGACAGGTGGTTAGGTTGACTAGCCTAATTTAGACTTAATCTTTTCCCTAATAGACCACCATGACTTACAAACTAACTTAAGAGTTGTCCTTAGGTTGTAAGATATGTGAACGATGTCAACAACTTTGTTGGAGAACAGGGGTTACTTTTTAAAACCCCACTGAACCTAACCGTTTCGCATGAGAAACAAGAGACCCTGTCTTACAGACCATTAGTTGAATGAGATACGGAAGGGGTCGTGCCCCCCCCCCCCCCCCCCCCCCCCC